GTGCCGTGAATTAATGTAATCAAAAAATGACATAGCATCCTGTTCATTGTGGAAGACACAGAAGGTGTCGTCAACATAACGCCTATAAAGTAGAAGGCGAGTCGAATGGTTAAAATTATTTAGCCATGTTTCCTCGTGGAAACCAAGAAAAAGATTAGCTAGGATGGGTGCTAACGGAGAACCCATCGCTACCCCATCAACTTGATCATAAAATTTTCCATTAAAAAGAAAATGAGTCTCAGCTGTAGCGAATGAAAACAGTTTCTTGAGGTCGGATTTTTTGATCGAAAATTTAGGGTCATGCTTGAAAATAAGATCAACAGCAATATCGATAGTTTCATTTAACGGAATATTGGTAAAAAGATCTAGACTTTCAACATCAAAGGAAATGAGAAACCTGTTGACAACGGTGCGTTGGTTTATGGGATACGGCAATAGAATTTCTTTCCCCAGGCTCCCGCAATGACGTCACAGATCACCTGGTACATGAAAGTAACACTAATTCCAACATTTTTCTTTGGAAAAATTCCACTGTTATAGGGGATTTACGACGATGTTAGGACAAATGGACAAATTTTAACCGTTAGTCGTAAAAAAGTTAATCGAAAAAAAATTTTTTTGCTGGCAAAGTACAAAGATATTGACCGTTCGCCGAAAATCAGCCAAAATTTTAACCGTTAGCTGTAAAAGCCCTCATTCCATCGACACCCTCTCATATTTTCACACACAAATAATTTTATATTTACACAAACAGGCATTGAAAAGACAAAACAGACAAAAAAAAATTAAGAATTGTAATGATACTAATTGACAGGAGCCATTACCCATTATTGTTTTGGGCTCCCGTAAATAATAATAATAAAAATAATAATGACCTTTATTAGCATACTTCCACATAGTGGCTCTTCGCTACTAATATAAAAAATAACTATATACGTAATACTTACAATAAATCAAAATTGATAAAATAGTGAATAATAAAAACTATACTAGATTATCCATAAATAATACTAGACTATCCGTAAATAATAAGAACAGCATCTCAGGACTAGTCAGCAACAACATTTACAGTAATGAGTTACGAGAATTACCTCTTGGGTCTTAGAGAAAGTCAAAGAAAGGTTAACGTATGTGTAACATATAAATTTGTAATAGGGGCTCTTGACCCAGTCTTGACCTCTCTGAAACAATTTAAGGTACATTTAATGCCAGTTACAATTGAAGCAGTTTAACATGTAATTGTGTTCGGTCATAACAGATAATGTAGTGTGCAAAGTTATTTACAATTCGATCAGTAAATTTTTCTTTATCAGTAGTCTGTTGCGGAGAAATGAAGACAATTCCGAAGTAACCACCCAGTTAAACAAAATGTTGCAAGGGAGGAAAGGGTGGGATGTTTATTGTCGCCTTTTTTCTCCCCGTTCCTATGCCCAATAGGAGTCGTTTCGATCATCTATGCTGTCATTGATACAGTAAATTAGGGACTTTGATTATGTGTCCTGCATTATAGCGACACGTCATCGGTACTAATTATATATTGCCTGGGGAGGGTAGGGGAGGGGAGGGGCGGGGCGTCAGGGGATTGAAGGGGAGCGGTGATAACATAGTCTTCTGGGAGAGCGGAGGGGAAGTCAGTCTTCGCCAACAGAGTACAAAAAGAGGCTATAGAAAATTGACTGCCTTATTGGGGTAGGGGGGTGGGGGGTTAGGGAAGTTTTAATCCTGACACAAAAAAAAAACCTCCTACCCCGTCCCCTCCTCAGGCTATCAATAACGATCCCTTAGAAGAAACCATAAACTTAAGACAACAGGAGTTTGTCTTTATAATAAACGTCACCTTCAAGTTCAGGACAACGGTAAACTCCTCCACCCTCAGACAACTGACGAATGTGGTTGATTCGATCACGGGCTGGCATCTCCTCCAGCAGGAAACCTAACTGCTTCGCTTTCTCTAAAGCTTGATGGGCGTTATGTACAGCTTCCTGGTGGTTAGACAGCCGGTAGTGAAGATCTGAGCGCGCCAAAAGAAACTGGAGTTTTCTTCTCTCGGTTATGTCATCCAGGCCGTCACCCTCCAAAAGAGCAAGGAACTTTGACGCTTCCTTGACATGCCCGCTACTCACACACCGCTCTCGTCCTGAGGTGCTCCCGCAATCGAGAAGAAGCATGGCGATCTTGATGGGCGCGAAACTGTGCGTTTGAGGAATCACCCGACTGTTGCTGTCATCTAGCTTCCGACTGAGATCAAGACAACGCTCAAAGCAGTGCTTGGCTTGGAGAAGAAGCTTCTTCCTCAAAACGCTTCCACTGGAGATGAATTCTTTCATGACATTTCCTTCTTCGTAAGCCAGGAAACTTTGGTCAAGGCAGACATCGATCAGGTGAAGATTCTGCTTGGACAAGTCAATGCACCGTACTGCTTCCCCCAGTTTCCTCTGCCGGCGGTAGACATGCGCGAGGTAGTAGTAAGCTCGTCCTATGAGGAGTTGGTGATTGTCAGCTTCAGAAACAATCCCAAGAGCTTCCAAAGCTATCGCCTCCGCTTCTTCCAGATCCCGCTGGTACAAAAAAGCGATGGCTTTCTCCAGCAAAACTGCAACTTTTACGTCAGAATTTCCCGAGTGTTGGTGCATCTCACACGCTTCTTCAAACTTCACCCATTCACCATTGTCACAGAATTCATGCAGCTCGTTCATAATGACGCACACCTTGGTCTGTGAGGGCGACAAGGATACAAGGGGAACCTGTTGAGTAAGTGCAAGCTCGCATTTATCGGTTTCCTTTTCTCCTCTAGCCTCCCTTGAAGAGTTTCCCTTCCAACTGATGGTCTCGACCACAATTGTAACGTAATCCAGGACTGCTGTCTTCAACTTCGTCTCTGACTTGGTTGGGTGAGGTTTGTCGTAGAGCTTAAACATCAGCAGTAGCTCACAATTTGGTTCATAAAATCGAAACCAGTATCCAAGCTTGCCGCTGGCACGTTTTACATACTTTGCCTCCCAGTCCTTCACAGTCTGTTCAGTGCCGTTGTGCTTCACTTCTACAATCATGCGATCTTTCGTGTTTGACAAGTGTTCTGCCACGACAAGTGTTCTACCTTCTTGGTGTTCACTGTATTGTGAGGGCCTTTGGTTATTACGGACCTGCAACTCGACAAAGATGTCCGTTCGGGGATCGGGGAAACTGGAGCGAGTTCTGCTTATTGGGATGGGTGAACATGGTTTCCGAAGAACAAAAATCTTCGGCTTGTAGATCTCTTCGTTTTCTTGTTTTCCCTCATCCTTGCTCTGTATTGTTCCATTTTCCTCTGTGGAAAGACTACATGTAAAATGAACGGGAGTGTCTCTCACTTCAACCTGACATTTGTTCGCCACATCACGGAAACCCTCGCTCGTTTCAAACCTTCTACCGCTCTCGATCTTTTCTTCTTTGTGTACCAAGGCAGAAGATAACTCATTCCATTCATGAAATGATACTTCTAGTTCTTGGGTTTCTGGTTCTGAGCCTCCCTCGTAGCCATTTTCAATGAACTTGTCCTCCATCTCCCGTTCGTTTTCATTCACTGTAATTTCAAATTCACCAATGATAAGCCCATTAGGACCCGAATTAAGCACTACGTTTTAAATCTGACGGCGTCCTCTTTTCGCAAGGACTCGGTTCGAGCAGATTTTCCGTCTGGCAAAGGCAAATTTTCGACAAATTTGATATTAAATCGAAGTCAAAGCTACAAACAAACTAGACAATATCACGTACTACTGAAACTCAAGATGGACTAGAATTATGATCAAAAACAAGACACAAACAGCAGTGATTAACATATCGAACTTGCACATTTTGATTATGACTTAACGTTTCGTATGTACTCAACCGGCATACATTTTCAAGGGTAACCATTGAAATTTAAAACAGCCATGTAGATATATATATATTTATTAAAAACTAGATTATTGGATAATGCAATTCAAGCCTTTTTATTTTGGCTTAGCCATTATGGTATATCAGCCAATATACCATAATCTACAAATATGGTAAGCGTACGTGTCAGCTTAAAATTAAAAAGGAGCTAAAAATTTAATAAAATTTAATAATTTAATTCAACGTTTTTAAT